TGGTTTGAATTAAATATTGCTGCACTCTGTGGCTGCTGGCATTGTGTATAGTTGAAATAAAGTAGGCCAACAACTTTTCTATATTGGCCACTTATTTGGCAGTAGTGGAAAGTAACGAAGAACATTTACTCAAGTACTGTATCTAAGTAGAAGAATTTGTTCTTGAGTATTTTGATTTTTTTGTAACTTGTATACTTTCTCTTCATTACATTTCAGAGGCAAAAGCAGCAAAGTAGAATTGGCTCTGCGTTTACCAGCTGCAACAAATCATTCACATATTAATGCAGTTATGATCCAATAATATACATGAATTTTATTTTGCACAAGTACTTTTACTTTTGGTAGCCTATGTTGAGTATTCTTACGCTAATACTTTTGTAATACTTGTTCCATAAGTAAAAAGATTTGAGTACTTCTTCCATCATTGTTATCTACTGTGTAATTATTACCTTAATTACATGCAGATGTAATTAAAATAAGTATCTCTGATCACATATTGTCAGTTTTTTGTAGTGTTTGTAGTTTTAAGCAGTGCTAATAAATGGGAGAAATGTTTGAAGTTCTTGCCTTTGCCTCAACAGTGGAGGCGAGATGTCGTCTTTTGTATTTTATTTTGGTGGCACTTCCTGTCCTGACAGTGGAAGTGAATGACAAGGAAAAAAAAGATGACATTGATTCTATTTACAATTGCCCTTTTACTGTATGTTTTCCCTTATGTGCTCATCTACCAGCAGCATATTTCTACCCCCTGCTACCATTTGGTTTTGACTTGAGCAAATTTCCTACCATAGTTTATATGGTTAGAGGCTACTTTTATGTATTCAGTGTTTATGGAAACAAAAGAGTTCCTACAAAGAAAACTAATTGAGAACAAAATCAATTATGCTTTTGCAAAATAATAAAAAACATCATGTTCTGAAGGAATAAACAGCTGGGCAGACTTAAGTGAAACTGTCTTACCGGACTGAGTAAAGCAATATCTTCCAAAATGTCACATTAATTGCACTTTACAGTATGCTGAGATTCAAAACTAAGTTTGTAAGAGATCACTCATTACTGAAAGCACAGAATATTCAGGCACATAACTGAGTTCGATCCAGTCCTGTCTACTTTCTGTTCTAGAGCTTTGCTGGCTGATGTCCTACTCATCATTTCAAGATGAAAAAGTAGGCTCGTATCTGTCTTGTCAGCGGACCACACAGATGTCCAGGATACAGAATTTGGCTCTACAGGTGGGGCAGGGAACTCTGCTGGACAACCAGGTCTCAGGTCTTTGCTGGTCTTGGCGGCTGGCGAACCATCGACCCAAACAGGACAGACACCACATGGGTCTGCAGAAACACTGCTGACAGTCTGAGTCGTTATCAGCTGTAACACACAGCAGTTACATTAACAAACTGACACAGACACACACACCTTCTTATAATTGTGAGGACTCTCAGTGACTTAATGCATTCCCCAGCTCCCCACCTTAACCCTCAAACAGCCTTTAGAATGTGTGAGGACTGGCCAACATGTCCTCACACAATGATTTTCAACTACAAGTTGCCCACTCAACTATACACACACAACCACACGCTCTCTCTCTCTCTCACTTTGTGTGCAGCAGAGTCTGACCAGCTTTGTGTTTGCAGGAACCTGCATGCAGCCGATACAGGATTCTATCTCCTGTGTATGGAGAGAGACCATTGATCAGATCAATTTTTATTATGAGCAGATGACTTTTTTAGCACAGCAGTTGCATAAAGAGTAACGCACCTGTCCACTGGGGAGTATGTATGGCTGATTGAGGTCCACTTGAGCACTAAACGTTTCCAGGAAGAGCTCACTGATTGTTTGGTAGATCACTACATTGGCAGAGGTTCTTATGGGAGAATTGAGCTTCTCGCTGAACTCTGCAAACTCTGTTGAGTTGAGCCTGGAAACAGTGAAAATGTGATTAGATTTTTTTTTTTAATTTGGTGTATGTTGTTTTGTCCTGATAGCTCAAAACCAGGGCCCTGTCTTTATATGTCACTAAACTAACAGCTTTCCTTCCTGGGACAAGCTAATTCATTTTGAGACCTTTCTACCAGTGAAATGCACACACATATCGCTGATCTCATCGCCATGGAAATCAATCTAGGTCTTTGCAGCTTGCAGTGCAGCATAAAGTGGCGTCACTCACTCTGAGCACTAGAAAGCTGCCCCTCAATGCTGGCAGGCTGGACACCAGCAGAACAGGGTCAGGATGGTCACTTTAAAATTGTATTCGAATACAATTACAAATTACCTGTTTTCAATAACTTAATCCAAGTATCACAATATCAAAGTTGCATAACTTTATTGCTTTGTTACTTTTGGATTACCTCATTACAAAATCTGCAAACAAAGGGATGAGAAAAGAAACATCAATAAAAAGGCTTTTGTATCCTGTAAGACGACAGAACAACAGAACCTTAAGAAAATGGGAAACCAAGAGTTTCAGTATGAAAAATGTGTCCTGTGCTCAGTGTATCATTTTTAAGGAAAACCTGCTTTTCATAAAACAACAGTGATGCATCCCCTGTGTATGTGAGAATAGGTCTTGGTCATTGTCACTTCTCTACTCTCCACACTGACCCTGAATGTTTCCACCTGGAACATCACTGAGGGACAAACATGTTGAAAACCTGGTAAAGAAGCTCAGACTGAAGTTAGGATTTTAATATAGACTACTACACTACTGTACTACTACTATTTAGTATAGAGCTGCTTTTGTCTAGAAACCAGGAAAAGACTGGTTGCTGCTACGTGTTTACCAGTTCTTGACCATGGTGACCTGTTATTTATGAATGCACCAGCACAATATTGTCATCAGCTGGATTCTATCACAATGCATTAGGATTTATCACCTATTTAAAACCATTAACACATCACTGCATCCTGTACTGAGTTAAACTTCATTTAAATATGAGAAGTCTTGTTTACACTGAATAAACCTGCTGCCGATTAGGTTTGAGATTACAGACATGCCACTAATAAGTTCAGCAAGCCTTTGGATCGAGGCTCATGTCAAATTGTCGATAATATCTGGCTAACCTGTTAATCCACATACAAAGAGCAGGCCACAGTTTTGGTCTTGAGCTTCTAAAAACACACACCTGATATCAAAGGATTTGACAGCAGGGTTGATGCTGTTCACTCTCAAGGTCAAGATCTGTGTGGGAGAGGTCGAGTCTGGATTCAGCTGGTGCTGTCTGGATTCTGTTACTGTCACATGACATTCACTCTGTAAGGCCATGTAGACATGATAGGTGGTCACCTGGAGATAGACAAACAGGGCCAGACATGTAGATGAATAAAACATATTATATACAGTACACACACAGTATATGTGTCAGAGCGCTTCCCTTCAGCTTAATCATGCTGACGTAAGCTCCAGCCCATACTGCTTCAAGTGCAGTGTCAGTGCAGGCCAGCGGATGAGTGCGGAGAGGGGACAATTGTAGTCAGGCATAGTACGAGGCAACTGTGCCTCGTGTGAGGATACCCTTAATGACCAGGTTTTGCACTTGTATCTGCAGCATGATGATATCTCTTAAATTTAATCAGCAGTAAATATTCCTAACTTGAAAAGTGATGCTTGGCCTTGACTAAAGAGTCACTCTCAAGTCAAGTTGAAGGCAACTGTCAGTCATCTTGGATCATAGTCTGCTCTGGATCAGCGTCATCAGAGAAAATGTTTATCTCCTATGTATACAGAGCCAAATAAAGTGAACAGAGCATCCTTCTGACATGGAGTGCCTCATCTTGGGAAATGTGAACTTTTCCAAACTCCGGTAGACATTGGGAGCTGCTAATGGCACCTCTGAACTACTGCATGTCTGCATGCATAAGGCTTAGAAAACAAAATAAACCTATCAGTGAGGCATATATTGTTAGCCTACAATCAAAAGGCACCACGGTTTACCTCAAGGTGCAAACCACTCTTAGCACCCAAGAACAGAAAGGCTAGATTAGACTTTGTCAGGAAACATCTATAAAATTTACCTAGGTTCTGCAGCTCATTTTTGGTGCTAAAGAGTGAAATTGTGTTAATTTTTACTAATGAGCTGCAAAAGGCTTTGCACTGGGGGAAAAGCAAAAGCGGCACCTTTGAAATGATCTCACACAATATGTATTTTAAGGGGTTTCCATTCAGGGACACAAAATAAGAGAGGAGAGAATAAAAATTTATACAGATATCCTCAGCGCTTGATGAATCACACCAGCAGACAGAACTGGAGCTAAAATTTAACGTCAAGAGAAAGCAGGCATAAAATCTGCAGCACTGCTGTCAATGTGGCAGCTGTTAGTAATTTGGGACCCGAAGTCAAGAACAAAGAGGTGAATGTGAGGGACCTTTACAGATTTTCAGGTCACACCATGCTTCAGATATAACTAGCAGAAAGTTGTGTGACTGCAATTACAAAATATGTTTGTTGGTTTCTTTAACTATATTGAATGTAAACTTGCACTTTCTTCTATGCTCTCTCTCTGTCAACATGTTGCAATGCAGGCAGCAGGTCCTTATAAGCCACCATGTCTTCAAATTAACACTGTTGCTGCTATGCTCATTTATATCCCCAGTGTTGGTAAATATGGCACTAAACTGAAACACTGTGGGTTTAGTAAATAACCCCCTAGTGTACACAATAGGAATGGAAGTTTATAAAGCCGTCATGCTGAATATAAATTCAATTTTAAAGTGATTATGGCCATAAAACAGAGAGATCAGGCCATACAGGGCACATAGGCTGTGGATTGGGCAGAAAACAATGTGAATGCGGACAAAACAGTTTTTACCCACCTTTAATACCCAACTGTCAGTAACAATAACTCTGGCTCCTGGTGCCCCTGTAGCAAACTTATCTATGCGTCTGAACTCTCTGTTGATGCTGGAGGCCACAGCGCCCCAGCTGGAGTGCGGAGGCTGTATGTGGACCTGCAGGGTCCAGCTGATTGGATGACTGCACCAGTGACTGTGGGACCAGTAGATGACAAGTGCCCAGCTGGCCAAATGGAGGCAGAGAGAGAGGAGGAGAAATGCTCTCCACAATCCATCCACCTGGTGAAACACAGGACAACGCAGCTGAGACATGTAGACCTTAACTGCAGATGCACTGATTGTAATTTTCTTGTCTGACTCCAATGTCTGATTTATTTATTTTTTTTGTTTTTTTGTCTGACCTGCTGATTCAGATTTTGGCTGATTTCGATTTTCTTTCTTCATAAGAACTGTAATTGACAGCATACACAGACATTTTTGTAATGTTTCTTTAGTAAAAAACTAAATTGTAATAAAAGTAAAACATTGTATTAAATGTTTACATTTTATTTACAAACCTCCAACTAAAAATGAAGTGCAGTATTTGTACTTCTCCAAACAGAAGGGTTACATCAGTCCTACTAAACATACAGTTCTTTTTGAAATGTAGATACTTTGTGACAGTATTTGCTTTGTTTTACCACGGGTTGGATACACTGTACGTACACATGTATTTCATGTGTAGCCAGTAATTCCCTCACTGTGTACCATTTGTCAGACATTTGATATAGTTTCCCTACTCCAAGGTGTTTCTGTAGGCTCCTCTGTGCGTTGTTTGTACACCAAGCACTTCCAATATGAGAATATGCCACTGACAGGCTCTAATACTGTTTTAGATACAACAATCTGTTAGCCAGCAGTAACAACAATCTGTTAGCCAGCAGTAACAATTAACTTACTCTAGAATTTTTGAGGGTTCTTTCCATGTTGAGGTCTTGGGTACTTCCAATGTCCCCCTCTACTACACTCCTGAATTTACTGTATAGGGACTCCATTTTTCCTTCACTGAATCTGGTTTCCTGTACCTGCCTAGGGTGAAGGTGTTTCTGTAGGCTCCTCTGTGCGTTGTTTGTACACCAAGCACTTCCAATATGAGAATATGCCACTGACAGGCTCTAATACTGTTTTAGATACAACAATCTGTTAGCCAGCAGTAACAACAATCTGTTAGCCAGCAGTAACAATTAACTTACTCTAGAATTTTTGAGGGTTCTTTCCATGTTGAGGTCTTGGGTACTTCCAATGTCCCCCTCTACTACACTCCTGAATTTACTGTATAGGGACTCCATTTTTCCTTCACTGAATCTGGTTTCCTGTACCTGCCTAGGGTGTGTGGCTGTGCATTTCCGTTATAAATCTCAATAACAACATCATTACAAAATTAAATAGTTAATGTGATGGAGTGTAAAATATGTCCAGTACGCAGAGAGCGATACTAAGTGTGTTCATAAATGCACAGACAGGCTGACCTGATGAATGAATCCCAGCTTCTTCTCTGGAGCAGCAATACACATCCCCATGTAGTAACCTGGACAGATGAATGACAACATGGACATAAGCTAAGCATATTATATGAACAACGGCACCAAATGACCCCATCAGAAACATACACCATCCATTACAGCCTTATGGGAGGCACACAATCCTACATCACCTACACAATCCTGACCCATACACAAGCACAGAATCAAAAAAAGACACTATATGCCAAACAACATTATACACGCCACTGGACAGACAAGATGAAGGCGAACAAGAAGTCACCATTCTGGGCTAAACACAGACACTGAGGTAGGAACACATGGAGGTGGCTAATGATACTGAAACGTCTTTAGCTCGCTGGAGCAGCGAACAACCAAAATGGAAGAGAGGCGGAGTGACACGGGAGACAGAACTGCCAAGCCAGAAAAAGCCATTTGCCGCATCTCTTTGTTGTTTTTCTTGTTTTCTGTGAGCTGGAAGTACTTTAATCATTTTTTCTTTTCCTCTTCCCTCTTTTTTATTTTTTTTGTTTAGACCATGAGAAGAGATGCATTTGTTGAAGTTTTTTGACTATGCCACGTTTTCCATAGATTTTTTTTTAGTTCAATTGAGGTGCTGTAAGGTGAAGGATGATCCCAGATATAGTAATGATATTTTGTTCTATGTGGGCTAAAAATGAATAAATTAATTTCAGTGTCTTACAATGTCCATGGCTTAAAAATCCTATTAAAATAAAGAAAATATTGACTCAGTAAAAAAAAAACATTTATGCTCAATTGCTTTAATATAGGAAACTCATTTAGTAGAGGACAAATATAAAAAATGAAATAGAGATTGGGTGAACCTGGTACTTCATGCCTCATATGGTCAAAAAGGAGGAGCTGCTATACTGATTAATAAGTCAATACCATTTATTTCTGACAATGTTTTCATACATAATAAGAGGAGAGATGTCCAAATAGCTGAATGGCTACGATGTGGTGCACCCAGGCACAGTGTGCACACAACATTGGCGGTTTGAGTCTGGCCTGGCCGCCAACCTTTTTCACAGGTCTTTTCCTCTGTCTCCCATTTCCTGTCTGCCTCTCTGTGACTGCCTTGAATAAATAAAGGCACAAACATGCCCCAAAGTAAGAGGAGATGAACAATGGTCATTGGCCACATAGGAGATATGATAATGTACATTTTGAATATTTCATGGAAATGGTATGATAGGAGGTGAATGTAAAGCTGTCCAGAATGCTGAGTTAGATACTGTAGGTTACCATCAGATAATAGACAAGACACCAGAAAGTCAAGGGCAGTAAATAATATGATTAAAGGACTAAGCTTAATTGATCCATGGAGACACAATAGTCCTAAAGAAAAACATTTTATTTTCTACTCCAATGGATTTTTTTCCTGCATATCGCAACATTTACACAAGGCTGACTTTGAAAAACGTACTTATGCTTTTATTGCCAGCAGAACAGACTATTGGGATGCTCTTCTGTCAGGTCTCTGGTCTCAGGTCTGTTAAACAACTTCAGCTTGTTCAGCCAGAGTTTTAACTAAAACTATGAGAACTGAACATTGTAGTGAAAGTGTAGTGAAGTGTATGGGTGCGATGAGGATAGTAACAGAGTTTAATGACAGTAAAACGCTGTATAATTCTCAACTTTGTGAACAGCTGTTAGCTATGCGAGTTATGTTTACAGCCCTGTCCAGGCCATTTCCTGCCTGCTCCTGCTTTTGGCCACACCGCGGAGCAGGCTGCACCTTAGGCCAGGTGGAGTCTGGTCCGGCGGAAGGGAAACGTTATCTGAGGGGGGACACGGACATTATACAGGTCGCAGGGGAGGGGCATGGACTACAGGTAAAAAGTAAGGTGGGAGATACATATCTCATAGGCTGTGTGTCAAGTTTTACCTAAAGGCAGAGCGGAGTGGACCAGCACGGTAACACTGGTCCGTCTGACGTGGTACTGGATGAAACCCAGATCCTCGCTTCCAAGCCATGACGAAAACAGGTTCTGGATGGTTAAACCGGCCGAACGGAACTCGTTGGGCGTAAACACGAAGCAGAGAGAAAACACAATGTAGGCCAAAGTAAAACCTAACTCCGGGCTCTCCATAGTTTATTTACACTACCGCAGAGACACCATGATGGTTATGAGTCCCATTCGTCTTCTTCTTTGGTTAGACAGACTCTGTAATGGCGTATTACTGCCCTCTGCTGATTAAATCAGCTGAGTCAGCCACGCACTTTGGTCACAAGGGGGCTCATATACAGTCAGCAGCCTTTCCAGCACTCACAGTATTCCTGTATCCAAATTATGATGCAGATCAGCACCAAAATGTTATCAATTGGTACGTGGGCCATACCCTAACACTCCAAAAAAATGTCACCAAAATCCATTCATTACTTTTGGAGTTATGCTGTGAAAAAAACTGCCAAAAGCATAACCCCTGCCCTTGGCAGATGTATAATAATAATAATAATAAAGCTTGTTGTATTTTTTTAAACTATCGGTATGCATGTGGCCTTGGCACCACGGTTTAAGTTGAAATTAATTAGGAATTCCAGGATTTCAGATATCATAATAACTTCAGGGTATGTCCCTTTGCACACTAAACAGGCTGAAGATTTTAGTCTTAGAGCCCAGATGCAGTCATGGACTAGTTGGTGTAATATGATTTAATATTATACAGAAATACTGTTAATAATAATCACCTTTAATTGGCCAAGCATGTTACACACACAAAGAATGTGTCTCCAGTACAGAACCGAGGCAGCCATCTGCAGCGCCAACTCACACCGATGGCTCTAACCATCGGGCGCAACTTGGGGTTCAGTGGACACTTCGACATGTGGACTGCAGGCACCGTGATTCAAACCTCCAACCCTCTGGTTGGGAGATGACCACTCTACCCACTGAACCACAGTCACCCCTGGTCAGGAAGACATTGACAGGGTGACAAACATAAATACTCTTATCAGGCGAGTAGCTACAGACTCCTCACTGATAAACAGGCAAGACTAAACACAATTGAACAACATAAGAGAACCACAAGTAAATATATCGACTAGGCACAACTCAAGAGGGCAATACACGCTGGCAGATAACACGTAAGTTTAGCACCAGACACAGCTCGGGTGAGTAAAGGGCTCTGGCAGGCAACAGGGAATATATAAATATCCAGAACACAATGGGTAGCTAAACAATGGAGACTGATAACTTGTGATGCAGTCATTTACAAACCAAATCCATAAGCATTAATACTAAAGGAAATGGTGTAACACAAAGTCTCTATAAATTCTCCAGAGCATAGCATGCCCTTAATAATCCCTGAAAAGAAGCAGCAGGCAAGCAAAGTGGAGAGAAAACAGTCTTAGGATAACCAAACAGTACCAGGCATGTGGGGAAAAGAAACAGGACTAGATATGTAGGCAACTGACCTCAATAGGGTCAAGCTGCGGTAGGGTCAAATTAGGTCGCCACACATTAGGTCACTCAAGTCATGGCCTTCACGCAACGTCACTCAATAGGTAAGCTACCATTAGCTCCTTAGCATGCCAGTGTGTGAGTGGATAAACATAGTAATGCAGAGGGTTTTTTGTTTAAAATGTATGTTACTATATGTATATGCAGTGACAGCCATTAAACTCAGTAATGTAGTTACAAGTTAATGTGACCTTTAAGAACTTGGTATATTAGTTGGCTGTGGGTACAATTCTATATACATTAATAAAGACTATGGCTTTTGTCAACTTTTATTGTAGTAATAGGCATATTTGGGAAAATAGAATGGAAATTGATACAAACAGACGTGATTTATCACGGCTGTTACTGAGGGTAGTGTGGCTGAAATTTAATGTCAGGAGAAAGCAAGTGTAACATTTGTGGCCCAGCTGTCAGTGTGGCATCTGTTAGTCATCTGAGACCTCTCCAGAGTTAAGAACATGTTCGAGGAGGGAGAGGGTGTTTGTAAATCCCATCACTGGCCAGAGGAGAATGTGAGGGACTTTTACAGGCTTTCAGGTCAAACCATGCTTCAGTTACTGAACGAAATACAAGATGATTTTACTGGGAGGAGACTACATAATTTAAGTTCTGAAATGTTTCCTTCAGGCAGCAGATCCGAAGCAGAGGTGTGTTCAGATAAACAATGCTGCAGCGGTGCTCATCAGTGCTGGTAAATACAATAATAAATTTAAAAAAAAATTGCAGTGCTGCAATACTTTCCACACCTGACTGTAATTTGGTCTAGAAAATATCCCCCTAGGTGTCCCACATAAAAACACACTGTACCACTGCTACACTGTAATAAAAGACGCCTATCCATCTCAACCCCGGGTCATCCGGCGTAAAACTGTGCCAAATTACTCATGCAAATTGGATTGACTGTGGGCGACCCCTAACGGGAACAGCCAAAAGTAGAGTAGTAGTATTCATCTCAACCCCAATCTATACAGGCAGAAACTTAAAGCTGCAAAGCCTGTGGTCAGAACAGTGAAGGGATGGAAAAACCAGGCCAAGTCATGGCTACAGGCCAAGTCATGGCTACAGACTGCAGTGTTTTTGAGGCTGCGTCTACAGACCTGGACTGAACTCACTGACACTGTGACATCATACATCAGCTTTTGTAAGGACGCGTCTGTGCCCACCAAGACCTTTTGCACATAAAACAACAAGCAGCCCCGGTTCACAGTAAAACTGAAACAGCTTCGTCGTGCCAAAGAGGAGGCCTACAGAAGTGGGGACAGGATCCTGTACAGGCAGGGCAGGAACACACTGACAAAGTCAGGGATGTGCAGAGTTTCTCAGGGGCAGTGGCTCAAATTTAAAGGAGGGGCATCTATCAGTACAGAGCTAATTAGCATTTTTCCACTATTATAATTATTAATTGTACCTCTCATTATCTTCCTGGTAGACGTAAACAGACTGTTTTTCATATTAACAATTTGAATTTGAGACATATAGTAATGGTATTTTATTTCTGTCTTCGTCTAGCTGTTTACTGGAGAAGTTAATCAAATCCAATAGGGCCTTCATGATACAAAATATTGTAGAAGACACATGTTACACACACAAAGAATGTGTCTCCAGTACAGAACCGAGGCAGCCATCTGCAGCGCCCACTCACACCGATGGCTCTAACCATCGGGCGCAACTTGGGGTTCAGTGGACACTTCGACATGTGGACTGCAGGCACCGTGATTCAAACCTCCAACCCTCTGGTTGGGAGATGACCACTCTACCCACTGAACCACAGTCACCCCTGGTCAGGAAGACATTGACAGGGTGACAAACATAAATACTCTTATCAGGCGAGTAGCTACAGACTCCTCACTGATAAACAGGCAAGACTAAACACAATTGAACAACATAAGAGAACCACAAGTAAATATATCGACTAGGCACAACTCAAGAGGGCAATACACGCTGGCAGATAACACGTAAGTTTAGCACCAGACACAGCTCGGGTGAGTAAAGGGCTCTGGCAGGCAACAGGGAATATATAAATATCCAGAACACAATGGGTAGCTAAACAATGGAGACTGATAACTTGTGATGCAGTCATTTACAAACCAAATCCATAAGCATTAATACTAAAGGAAATGGTGTAACACAAAGTCTCTATAAATTCTCCAGAGCATAGCATGCCCTTAATAATCCCTGAAAAGAAGCAGCAGGCAAGCAAAGTGGAGAGAAAACAGTCTTAGGATAACCAAACAGTACCAGGCATGTGGGGAAAAGAAACAGGACTAGATATGTAGGCAACTGACCTCAATAGGGTCAAGCTGCGGTAGGGTCAAATTAGGTCGCCACACATTAGGTCACTCAAGTCATGGCCTTCACGCAACGTCACTCAATAGGTAAGCTACCATTAGCTCCTTAGCATGCCAGTGTGTGAGTGGATAAACATAGTAATGCAGAGGGTTTTTTGTTTAAAATGTATGTTACTATATGTATATGCAGTGACAGCCATTAAACTCAGTAATGTAGTTACAAGTTAATGTGACCTTTAAGAACTTGGTATATTAGTTGGCTGTGGGTACAATTCTATATACATTAATAGAGACTATGGCTTTTGTCAACTTTTATTGTAGTAATAGGCATATTTGGGAAAATAGAATGGAAATTGATACAAACAGACGTGATTTATCACGGCTGTTACTGAGGGTAGTGTGGCTGAAATTTAATGTCAGGAGAAAGCAAGTGTAACATTTGTGGCCCAGCTGTCAGTGTGGCATCTGTTAGTCATCTGAGACCTCTCCAGAGTTAAGAACATGTTCGAGGAGGGAGAGGGTGTTTGTAAATCCCATCACTGGCCAGAGGAGAATGTGAGGGACTTTTACAGGCTTTCAGGTCAAACCATGCTTCAGTTACTGAACGAAATACAAGATGATTTTACTGGGAGGAGACTTAGTAATTTAAGTTCTGAAATGTTTCCTTCGGGCAGCAGATCCGAAGCAGAGGTGTGTTCAGATAAACAATGCTGCAGCGGTGCTCATCAGTGCTGGTAAATACAATAATAAATTTAAAAAAAAATTGCAGTGCTGCAATACTTTCCACACCTGACTGTAATTTGGTCTAGAAAATATCCCCCTAGGTGTCCCACATAAAAACACACTGTACCACTGCTACACTGTAATAAAAGACGCCTATCCATCTCAACCCCGGGTCATCCGGCGTAAAACTGTGCCAAATTACTCATGCAAATTGGATTGACTGTGGGCGACCCCTAACGGGAACAGCCAAAAGTAGAGTAGTAGTATTCATCTCAACCCCAATCTATACAGGCAGAAACTTAAAGCTGCAAAGCCTGTGGTCAGAACAGTGAAGGGATGGAAAAACCAGGCCAAGTCATGGCTACAGGCCAAGTCATGGCTACAGACTGCAGTGTTTTTGAGGCTGCGTCTACAGACCTGGACTGAACTCACTGACACTGTGACATCATACATCAGCTTTTGTAAGGACGCGTCTGTGCCCACCAAGACCTTTTGCACATAAAACAACAAGCAGCCCCGGTTCACAGTAAAACTGAAACAGCTTCGTCGTGCCAAAGAGGAGGCCTACAGAAGTGGGGACAGGATCCTGTACAGGCAGGGCAGGAACACACTGACAAAGTCAGGGATGTGCAGAGTTTCTCAGGGGCAGTGGCTCAAATTTAAAGGAGGGGCATCTATCAGTACAGAGCTAATTAGCATTTTTCCACTATTATAATTATTAATTGTACCTCTCATTATCTTCCTGGTAGACGTAAACAGACTGTTTTTCATATTAACAATTTGAATTTGAGACATATAGTAATGGTATTTTATTTCTGTCTTCGTCTAGCTGTTTACTGGAGAAGTTAATCAAATCCAATAGGGCCTTCATGATACAAAATATTGTAGAAGACACAAATGTCCCTTACTATTTAAACTAAAATTAAAAATGGCTTAGCCTTTTTTGCACCCTATCAATCTTAGAGTGGCTCACCTTTCTCATCCATTGGAACTGGAACTGTTTTTTGCTGCTGCTTTCTTCAGTTTCTCCTCAGCTTTCTGTTTGGCATCTTCTTCACTCTTTTTTAATGGTGAAAAAAGTAAGTACATTTACTTTTCATTAGTGCCGGGAAGTTTGATTCTTATGGTTACCCAGCATACCTACAGCTTACTAGTAAACACGAATTGAACCGTTTTTCAGTGTCCAATACATGTACCTATAGCAACTACAGGTCAGGCAAGCTGTGTGCTGGCTGATTGGTATCATGTGAATGTAAAACATTTTTAATCTTCCCATTGTCGGCTTTATTTACCTGATCCTGTACAACATCATGGAATGGTTTATCCTCTGATATTGTTGAGAGGAAAATTGACATAAGCTTCTTAAGGTGGTCTTGAGTCTGTCCATGCTACAGTGCGAGTCAGTGTCCTCCTTGTCCTCTGACCCTCCACGTCACACATTGTGTAGTGATGAGGCTACGCCCGCTACTTGCTCCTCACGCCTCAGGTGCATTTTTTTTTAAATATGTTGGGAGAGCCAAAAGTTATAGAATGAAGACATGTAGTTTAAACATCTGTGTGGGAGGAATGAAGAGATTTAACAGACAGCACTCTTGTTCGTTTTTATTGTCACATGTGCAATATTGACAAAACTAAAATGCAGCATGACATTATATATTCAATTATAGGATTAATTTTCCATAATACACCAAAAAAAATAAATGATCCAGAAATAAAGAGCTGGACCAAACCTGCGGGCCTGAATTGACAAGACTAGATTGAGAGGAAGCATCAATTACATTTCACAAATCATCTACAGTGATTTAGTGCTTTAAAACAAATAAACGTATGTCGCATCTTATCATTTGGTTATGTTCAGTTAACTTAAAGAAATACACCACTGAAAATCTCTGTATATCAGACACCATCCCCCTTGCTGTTGTTAGTCCACGCTGCCAGCAGCTGCTTTCCTCCATGAAGATGCACACTACAACTTCTGAGCTGGCTTTCACATTTACTGTTGGCTACTAGTTGATACCCAAAAGAGAGATGCTTGGTGGAGTGTTCCTTTAAGGGTTGTCCGGTTAAATGAGAAAGCAGCCTACGGAGCCTGGGTGGTTCCTAACCCCACAGCATTTGCATAAGCAGACAACAAACTGACGATCTGCCTGGTTTCCAGTGTGAGTCTGGCTTCAGTCAGCCAGTCTTCTACCACTCTCCTGGCCTCTCCTCTCAGCTGGTTAACCAGTTTAGCTGCCAACTCCAGATCACCATGCTCTAAGCAGTAACTAGCATATGACAGAAGCTGAAATGGGTCTAGATCCTCACTGCTCAGTTGGGCAGGAGGGGCTTTCTGTTTAGCTTCAAAGAGTAATGCAGCTTGAAGATAGGACAAGAAATACTGGTACAAGGAGTTGCGTGATTCATCAATGAGGGCAACCTGTCGGGCTATCGATCGTAGGGAGTTGAAGCGGGCACGCAGAGAGGCCTCGCTGTACACACCCCGCTTTAGGGATTCTTCTGGAAGAGCTGATGCCAGAGCCAAAGCAAAGTCATTGCCATGGCAGCTCTCCTGCACAGCCTGAGCAGCGCTCTCTAGAGGCACAGTTGGCAAATTAATGTCAGCAGTCTTTAGACTGTAGTTAAGAGCCTCCACAGAGAGCCAGAGCCGGTGAGCTTTACGGGCCTCCTCCTCTGCTACAACATGGTCTATAGTCAAAAAGACAGGAATGAGATGACACAGTTTCAGAAAGCACCACCATCACCTTAGAGTACATGCAGTGCTTTTCAAAGCTCTTATTCTGCCCCAAGTCCATACACTCTAAAAGGATCAAAACAAGTAATTCCAGCACCGAACATTGAGTAAAGTGTTATACTTTTCCACCGCATTATGTTTGCAGTACCCTGACGGTGGCGCTAAAATAATTATGATCTATTACACTGGGTTTCCCATATCTAGTCAAAAATCTATTATTAAACATGGTTAACACAGCACCATAAGTTACTGAAATAGTAATGTTCAGTATGCTACTACAATGAAAAGATAACTTCTTTGTGAAAACTCAGTCAAAATGTGATTTTATCACACAGCTGCTATCATAACCCTGTATTTATGTTGTTGTGGTGGCTATAAAACTATTGCTAGATTTTAATCACAAAAAATATTGACAATTCTGCTACATTAAAACCCACCGAGGGGGAAGAGCAGAGGTTTAACAGCTGTATAAGGTTACTGCTGCGCTGTCTTTTTTTAAACCACCAAATTACGACCTCTTAGCCTATTCAGTCACCTCGTCTCCTAAAACATTCTTTGTCAGGTTTTCTCAAGTTGCAGTTCGTCATACTGTCCGCTTACATATTCTGGCTCAAACATGCCAGATAGGATCTGAGGTATTGTCAGTGTCGAAAACATAGCTTAATTGTTCAAGTTAGTTAGTTTGTGATTTGTCCTGGCTTCCTGACTGGCAACAGGAGTTGTGCGCAATTGCAAACTATTCTCTCATTTTCGCAAGGAGACTCTCCTTATGATACTGGGTTTTATCGTTCTGAAATAACTACAGACTATTTGGAGTTATGATGGGTGCAAAGCTAATCTCAAGGTACCCAAGATTAAAAATTAACTGCCTGGAAATGAGCATCCCGTGGGCTCTTTAAAGGACTGTTTGTGTTAAAGTTAAAATTAGGCTTAGATTAGGCTAAAACTTGGGGTTAGATTAGGTATTTTGTTGTGATGGTTAAGAGTAAGGGACTAAGGAATGAATTATGGAAATGAGTGTCCTAAAAATACAGACATACAATCGTGTGTGTACATCTTACCATCTATTGCCTCCTCCATTCCCTTCAGTCTTGCGTAGGCAGAGTTCATATCCAGAGTAAAGTTATCCAGCTGTTCCTGACTCAGCTGACGGTAGCGGGTCTCCTGTTCCAACATCTTACTGCTCAGGACCTGAACACAATCCACAGTAGAGCTTTGATGGAACATTTGCAGTTATCAGACATGCACCATAACAAGCAAATAGGGTGGAAGTTACAGGTAGCAAACTAATTGAATCTACTCACCTGTCCTGGCTATATAGACTTGTGACTTAGTGTGCACGAATATGTTTCATTGAAGTAGTATGCAATCAAAAAAAAGCAAGAATACTAAGGATATGACAAAGCATTTTCTATAAATGTCCAGTATATTTAACAGTGTGTAGCACAGACACAGTACAGCCAATACTCAAAATATCTGACATTCAATAGATCAGTCATATACATAATTCACTTATTTGCAGGCTCTGATATGCTAATGTCACGTGTGTATGATGTCAGGCAGTGTGGAGACCTGCTCAGCTTCAGCTGTCAGCTCCTGCTCCTGGACCTTGAGAACATCTCGGATGTGGTCTGTGTGAGCAGCTGCCTGACGCCGGAGCTGAGTTCTCATCTCTGCTTCCATCACTTCCCTCAACTCAGACAGCTACACACAAACATTTAGTTATTAATTAACTGATAAACTGGACATTGGCTCCAGTCCTAGTCACTTTCTGGCCTCAATAGCCAGGAAATATTACATAAGTAGCATAGCACTGGTAAATCTTAGTGGCACCAAATTAAAATTAAAGTCATCAAACCCTGAACTATCCTCTATCCCCTCCATACCTTTCTCTCCTGGTCAAGCCGGCCTTCTTCCTTGATGTGGAGCAAGGCAGTGTTAACAGCTTTTTCCATGGCTTTCTGGTCCTCCAGTTTCTGTTGCTCCAGGGCTGATTCAATATGCACCTGTTCTCTGACTCTCTGCTCAGCCAGCTCTCGGTTCAGCTGGTCAATACGACGGTGTGCATGAGCGATCAGGGCGTTCAGGTCATCTGCTGACAGTTTACCAGCTAACACAAAAAGACAAAAGATTCTTTTGCAAATATACCTCTTAACTAATGAATTCCATTTCAGGTCTTAATTAAGGAAAAGCACAAGTCTGTTCCAATTCAACAATCTCAGCAGTACAGAAAACAGATTGTGTAGTGGAGGTATCACTAGAAAATGAGTTATTTCTAACCAGGGATGTTATAGTTTGCAGCTGGCACATCTAGCCCATGGCATATTAATTCCTATGTGTAAATAACAATAAGAATGCAATTGAGCATCTACTGTATTTCAGCTAGGAGTCTATGACATTTAACTTCAGTATCCTCAGCTCCATTTTAGTCTGGAACATTGTGTCAAATGCCAAGTCTTTTTCGTCACCCTCAATATTGCTAACCATCTAAAAGTGTCATTGTGAGTGGGGTTTTTTCTATGGTTGTGTGGACAGATTTTAGATCATTACCTTCTTTGTGAGGACTTTTTGGCCAATTCTAACTTCAAAGAGCTGTTTGAGGGTTACAGCTTGGTTTTACAATTAATGGTTTAGATTGGGTATTAGGGTTGGGGTAAGGCATGTAGTTGTGATGATTTGGTAAGGTGCTGCTAGGAAATGCATTATGTCCAGTAGTGTCCTCACAACTATAGAAAGACAAATGTACAAGTGTGTGTGTGTTTGTTTTCTTACTGAGCCCCTTCCAGTTGGCTTGGATCTCTGGAGTAAGGCTGCTTACTTCTCTCTGGAACTGTTGTTTAGCTTCATTAACCAATTCACCGTACTGGGAGACTATCTTAGCCTCTGTCTCTGCAGACTTTACCTAAACAAAAAATAAAATATGCTTTATTGTCGATGAGGTGAAAATTGGCTTGGGCACACATGGTGCATACAGTGGCACATAAGATTATTAGCACACATACATAAACAATACAGCTAACACACAATCATGCAACATACACAAAACCACATGGATGAAATAAGACAGACAATCCCTAGTTACTGCTTACTTATCACTGACAAGAAAGAAATCAATCCATCTTAACAGGTTCATTACAGTTTGACAGTCAGATAATATTGAACCTGAGCCCAACTTGAATAAAATACACAATAAAAGAACTGAGGGTAACAGGTAAAATAGCTAATATATACATAAACATTGAGAGCCGCTGTACTAGAGTCAAATTCCTCGTGTGTCCCACACACCTGGCCAATAACGCTGATTCTGAGGTAAATAGCAGCTATAATGAACAATTGTTTTAGTTGTGGTTATTGGTTAATGCAGCTTAGCGGTTAAAGGTGCAGCCCTATAAACTCACTCTGCCGACTTATTTTGGTGCTTCTAGATTTGAGTGCTGCATTCGATACTGTGGACTACAACAACCTAATTTCTCATCTGGAAAAGTGTTGTGGCATTTAAGGATCTGGTTTAAACCCTATTTGACAAACAATGTCATTACCTTAGTGACCACTCTGTCCAAGTCAACCACCATGTTATGGAGATTCTCCTCTGCTGCTAAAATGAGTGGGCGAATCCCAGTAACCTTCAGCCCTTTAGATTTGTGAATCACTGACTTGAGACTGTCCAAGGTTTCACTACAAGAGAGAGACACAGGAGGAGTTACTGGGGTTTGATAAGAAAATGGCTGTAAGATCTGAAAGTTAATCTGTGATGATGAGACAAGGCTGTGTGACACTCAGTGTGTTTCTGTTCACAAGGCTTTGGTAATCTTTTATTCTGGGTTCAATTTTCCTCATACAGCCAAGTCCAGAATGATTGGCAATGGAACCATGAACCTAACCTTCTTAATAAGACTAATAATATTAGCAGCTGTGCTCACAAGATATCAAATTGCTTGAGGATGGGGTTTTCTTGCTTTGTTCTGGGCTTTGCTGGCCAAATATTTTCTTCCTTATATCCTCAGACAATTCTCTTTATTACTTTTCTTTGTCCATGTTCAGTGTGGTATACAAAATGATATGGATGGGAATCGAGAACTGGTTCCACTTACGAAGCAGTTCAGATCAGTCCATACCATCAGAATTGAACGCCTCCCAGGTTATCAGTTCCCAGTTTTTCTTACAGTTGCTTCACAAAAGCTTATGAGAGGGAGGGAACAGGTGCTGGCTTAACAACTACTCATTCAGTTCTGATGCCTGCAACACATCCTAACAGAAGTTGGGACAGTAAAGCATTTACCATGGCGTGATGCTGCCATTCTTTCACAGCACTTAAATGCCATTTAGGGAGTGAGGACACCAAGTGATTAAGTGTGCCAGGTGTCATTTTGTCCCATTCTTCAAGTTTTAAGGTGCCCAACAGTCCTGGGTCTTTGTTGATGCAATTTGCATTTCAAAAAGTGCCACACACTTTCTGTTTGGGACAGGTCGGGATTGCAGGCAGGTCAGTCCAGCACTCACACCCCTTTCCTCCACAGCCTGGCCTTGGTAATGTGTACAGTATGAGGCTTTGGAATTAACATTAGTTGCCGTCCACTGCAGACTTACAGTTTAACATTTTAACAAACACCAGCGACAATCGGCACCAGCCACAAATGGGAAGGTACCCGCTGAATGAGTTCTAGACTAAGCTTTGCTTACAAGAGTGTCAAAACTGACACGCATTGGTGCACCCAAATAATTTACCTGATATAATGCTTGCTCACATGTTAGGTTGACTGTTAATACAGAGTAAAGCCAGGGTACATCAGCACTGAAAGGATGTAAATATGCACATTCGGTGGCTCCATAAAAAGCCAGTTATGAAAAAAATCCTTATTACATGATGTGTGAACGTGTGTGTGTGTGTGTGTGCTTAGATATGTCTTACTTGGCTTTCAACAGAGCAGTTCTAGCATCATTCACAGCACAGGTTCTATCAGCAAGAGCAGCTTGCAGATCCTTCCATTGGGCTGACTTCTCCTGAGGTGGAACCTGAACTTACAGTAATAAGAACTATAATCACTCTACTGCAAAACAACTGTACTGCCCAATGAAAGTCAAAGAAAGTGCCAATAATTTTGTTTTTAAGAAGTTATTTTATGATACAAAAAAGGGTGTATTTTGGTTGATTTGACAGCTCTGATTGGCCATCTGATGCTGTCACTCTGCTTCTGGTTGCTACTGAAGAGAATCTGGTTTTAAAAAAGCAAGATGGCAGCGGCCATATTCACCATATTTTGGCAGTATTTTTGGCTAGTCGAGGGAAGTGGTGACCTCATGTCCATCATATATACAGTCAATGGGAACACAGGCCTTATCTGAACCCTGGTGAACCTCACACTGCCCCTCCATTCACTGCATGGTTGGACCAGCCCACACTGGTCTACTTTTCAAAGAACTAAGTGCTGGTTTCAGTTTATGTAGATTAACAAAAAGATGCAGACAGAAACTGAACCAAAAATGTCTTGGATGTAAATCATAATTCACTATCACAGTCTCAAAAAGAGTTCCTCAGTAGTACGCCACTTGTGTTTGTACTCTACTTCTACTGTCTCTGGTGCATCTGCCTTCAGACAGGCTTAAATTACATAAAAGCCACCCTCCTAACTTTTGGCCACTAATCAAAAGTGACAAATGACAACCTATGATTGTGACAAGTCTAACTCACCTCACATTTTTACTACAGTGGCTTCAGAAAGTATTCAGACACTTCACTTTTTGCAGTTTATCTAATTGTTAACCAAAATAAATTGTCACTTCTACACACCAAGCTACACATTCCACACACAAACACATTTTATCAATTTTAAATTAAGTTTACACCACCAAGTGTCTAAAAAGTGAAGGGGTTTGGATACTTCTGAGTTCACTATAACTTCACACATTACCATTTTAATTATGTTCTGTTATTGAAAATAAAAAAGTCAACTGATAATAACCTCTGCTTCCATAGCCTCCTTCAGTTTGTACGTGTGCCTTATGATAGCCTGCAGGGCTGCCTCCTGAGCTCCTATGGCCTGCAGCGTTGCCTTAGCTGACTTGGCCAGTGAGTCTTCAAGGTTGTCTGATACAGCTGCAAAACAGACAGACAGAGTGTGTTACAGTTCAAAGTGTCTCTGCTACTGAATTGGGAAATGAGGACATAGAAAGTACTGATACAGTAAATTAAAAATTCATTCATAACTTTTTGTATCATTGTATGGTTGTCACAAAATCCCACAGCACACCTGCACCTGCCTCACGGCAAACCAGCGGGCCGCAGCACACCATTTTGGAACTGCTGGTTTAAGGTATCTCATAACATTTTTAAAGGGAGAATGTTAACCTGCTGATCCTTCCTTGTAAAATAGCTTCACAAATGTGGATGTTTGTTTTAATCATGTAGCTAATATGTGTGTAGCATGTTTTGTTTACTGATAACTGTGTGTCATCCATTTGTTGAAATGTTTATTCATAGTGTTGAAGCCATGGCAAAGACTCCCATCAGTACTGTGGTGGGTTGCTCCTATTGCTATCAGGATCAAGGCGAGAACACACAGTCATGCACATACAAAATACACAGTATGTCTGGCCTGTCAATCTGTGGCATGTACAAGAGCAGCTAAACTGTGTAAACATCTGCTAATTATTTTTAATGTTATGGCGAGGTTATTATGACTGCTCATTTCAGCTTCATTTTGTTTTAAAGTGATTATGAAGTATAATTTTAGATGGTAAAATGACAGATGCGTTTTATCTGGTATGTACAGCAACTTGGATTCAAAGCAGATACAGCTTTTTAGGTGTAATATGAATATAAGTAGCCATGTGAATGTGATGCGAGACTGCAGTGACAATCTGGTTCAGACTGAGGTTACAGCAAGTCAAAGCCCATACATGAAGAACAGTAAAATATTATTAAAAGTACTGCAATTCCATAGTACTTCATGATCTAAAACTAGCCATTTCTGTCATTCTTAGGTTTCTACCCAGCACCACAATGTCCCTCCTCCAGTCTCCACTTGAACTAGGTTCAGTTGCCCTCTTACAGACTGCTCTGCTATGATTTGCTCCACTCTGAGATTACGAAAAACATGAATTTTGTTACCGTGTATGCCTTGTCTTGTACGTGTGCAGAACCTAGACCTGATCAATCTGTGACCATTTTGCTGTATAATGGAATAAACTGTATAACACTTGTCCATAAAATTATACAATGGAAAAACTATAGTACTAAAAAAAAAAAAAAAAAAAAAAAACAAAGGAATTTCAAATATAC